GCGGTTTGGCAGTCTGCTGACTGAAGGCCATGTGCTGTGCGCGACGGAGCAGTGGTGGCAGCTTGCAGCCCAGGAGGCCATGCTGCTGGTATGGCTGGTGCGCACACTGCCCCCCCACACCTCCCGCGATCTGCCCGTTTACCTTCCTCATGGCAGTCCTACGGTGAGTAAACAGATAGATTGGGAGGGGAAGAGGGTCTTTTTAAAAAAAATAAACTCTCCTCAAAAGGAGAGGACTTTATTGCTTTAAATTTTTCAGGAAAAAGGGAGGGTATATAGAGGGATTAAGAAAAGTGGTGAGTAAATTAGTATATTAATCTTTTATCAGTATTAGTACAGTCCATAGCTTCAACCGTGAGTAGTCAATCTTCTTGCTTCTTTACCTGTCAAAGATTAAAAAATTAATTAGATTAGTAAAGTCCTTTTGGGTTAGTATTAGTATTGTCCTTTGCAGCACACTCAAAAGTTCTTCAGACGTTGGGGCGTCTGCCTTTTTTCTCTCTCAAGTTATAGGAGACACCTCCCACCGCTCCTCTTTGCAGCACACTCAAAAGTTCTTCAGACTCTCAAGTTATAGGAGACACCTCCCACCGCTCCTTTTTCTTCCGGTTCTCCGTCTCCTCCCTCCGGGTTGCTGTCCTCATCACTACTGAAAACTTTCCACTTAGCAAGTTCTGCTTCTTCCTCTGAGCTGGCATGTCTCTTCAAAAATTCTTGTGCTTTGAAAATGGAGTCAATCTTCTCTCTCTTGTCTTTAAACTTAAAGACCAGTCCTTCTGGTATCAACCACCTGTAATTAATTTGACGATTTTGCAAGAATGTGGTCAGACCTTTATATGCCTTCCGCTTCTGTCGAATTTTAAATGGTACATCTTTTAAAATCCTTACAGCTTGCTCTCCAATCTTCAAGGGTGTTGCTGATGTCGCTTTCAAAATCTGATCTCTGACACGTTTAGCAAATTTGACAACCACTTCAGCAGGCAGATTATTTTTCTTTGTAAAGTTAGAATAGGATCTGTATACCAGATCCATTTCCTCGCTTAATTTATCCGCTTCACTGCCCATCAGTGGTGCCAACGCTTCCGTTATTATGCTTCTGAGATCTTCTTTTTCAACCTCCTGGATTCCTTGAAATCGGAGAGTCAAATTTGATTTCTCCATTTGTAACATCAATAACTTATTTTCTTGCTTCTTTCCATTTTATTGACCTTCTTCTTGATTTTCTTTTGATTCTCCTTGTACCTTTCTCTCCAACAGGTTCCTCACCGATTCCTGACCTTCCAGCTTGTTCCTGGTTTGGAGGTGGTGCTGTTGTGCGGGCCAAGTCCCTCCTTACAGTACGTGGCTGATGAGGTGAGGGACGGGGGATGTCAACATCAGTGTTTGCAAATGAAGCAGCTTGCCTTTGTTTCCTTGCAGCCTTGCCGGGTAGGAAAGAGACGTTTAACATATTAAATTTATTTATTTATTTATTATTCAAATTTATATCCCGCCCTCCCCAACGGGCTCAGGGTGGCTAGCACAAAGCCATGATAAAACAGTTACAAGGAGGATAAAACAATACAAAATTACAATGAAGTGCTGGTGCTCTGAAAGTTCATAGTTCCAAGATGGGTTCTGGAAGATGGACCCAGAACAACGAAGCAGGTTCCAGGACAACGCTGCCTTCCGATCTTCGGCCCAGGGCCATCATGCACCCCGATGGCATCCCCGCTCTTTGCGGTAGCGGTACAGTGGTGGCTGCAGTGCCTACTCGAAAGCCTGGCAGAAGAGCTCTGTCTTGCAGGCTCTGCGGAACTGCACAAGGTCCCGCAGGGCCCAGATCTCCTCGGGGAGCTCATTCCACAGCGAATTTGATGTCCCTGGGGCCTAGGGTAACCAAAAGATGTTGGGCCCCCGACTGTAGTGCTCTTGGGGGAACATATGGGGAAAGGCGGTCCCTCAAGTATGCCGGACCCTGGCCATAGAGGGCTTTAAAGGTAAGAACCAGCACTTTGAAGCGAAACCGGTACGCTATTGCCAGCCAGTGCAGCGCCTTCAGCACAGGCCGGATATGGTCTCGCCTAGAGAAACCCATCAGCAGCCTGGCTGCTGCATTCTGCACTAGCTGCAGCTTCCGGACTTGCGACAAAGGCAGCCCCAAGTAGAGAGCGTTACAGTAGTCCAGCCTCAAGGGGACCGTCGCATGGATCACGGTGGCCAGGTCATCGCAGTCAAGGAAGGGAACCAACTGCCGAGCCAGCCAAAGATGATAAAAGGCCGACTTGGCAGTGGCTGCTACCTGGGCCTCCATCGTTAAAGAGGAGTCCAGGAGCACACCCAAACTCCTACCCCTCGATGCTGGCACCAGAGGTGCCCCATCACAGGTCGAGAGAGGGAGTCTCAACCCCGAACCAACCCGACCTAGACCCAGGACCTCCGTCTTCACCGGGTTTAGTTTCAGCCGACTCAGTCTGAGCCATCCAGCCACAGCTTGCAACGCCCGATGAAGGTCATCTGGGTCGGAGTCCGACCGGCCGCCCAGCATCAGATAGAGCTGGGTGTCATCTGCATATTGATGACACCCAAGCCTATACCTCCGGGCGATCTGGGCAAGGGGGCGCATGTAGATGTTGAACAACATCGGGGACAGCACTGCTCCCTGAGGCACCCCACAGTCAAGAGGGTGCCTCCGGGACCGCTGATCCCCAATCGCCACCCTTTGTCCCCGGCCTTGAAGAAAAGAGGCAAACCATTGAAGGGCAAGGGCCTTAAATTGCCAACCTCTCCAATCCACATCTAAGGCTGATCCCTCCGTTAGTTAGAAAGGCGAACCAGTGCAGTGTCAAGGTCATAGTGTCAGACAGAGCTGGGAGACCTGTGTTCAGGTCCTCCATTCTGCCACAATGCTTGCTGAGTGATCAGGGGCCAGTCCCTGCCTCCGAGCTTAACCTCTCTCACAGGGCTGTTGTGAGGATTACATGGGAAGGGAGAACCATGTATTGACACCTTCAGCTCCTTAGAGGATGTAAACGTACTAGATAGGACAATGGATATTACTTGTCCTGCTGCACAGGGCAATCAAAGGGAGAGGCGAGTATGAAGTCCTTCATCGGTTACAGCAGGTAAATAGCCAAGAGCTGGCCTGTTACTGTCACCCCCAGGGAGCAGCCATCACTAGCAATCTCTTTCCATCCACAGCTAGTGAAACAGTTTTGGCAACCGTTGCTGGATCTCCTGAAGCAGACTGCCAGAGCCTCCCCTCGCTGCCTCCCTCCAAGCACGTCTCTTGCCCCTGGCATCCTTGGGTGAGTCTTACACATAGCCAGGACTCTTAAGAACTGCTGGTTGCATCCAAAGTCCTGTAGAGAATGGGTGCCTTCTAAACACTCCTACATTTCCACTACAAAACTGCACTGTCCTTTCCTTCATCACCAACAGGCTATTGTTGATCAACCAAGAACAGAGGAAAAGCCTCTTCACAGTACAACCTCACGGCACCCAGGCGGAAGGTAGGGCTCAAGCACCCTGCAAGGGAAAAGATGGCCCTTCCCCAGTCTCCGAGGGGCACGTGTACAATTTATCTGTCTTTGTGTGGGTGGGGTGGCTGTTTCTCAGAAGCCCCCTGCCTTCTGCCTCCCTCTTGCAGAATCCGAGATGCCCCTGAAGAGTCGCCTCTGTGCCCTCCGCTCTTTCTACGCCTTAGCTATCTCTTTGTACTTTCCCTCTGAGAAGTCCGAAGGGAGTACGGGTGAGTAACGGCAGTAGTGACTCCTGACCTAGGGATGCCAGCCTCCAGGTGGAACCTTGAGGTCTTCTGGAATTACAGCTCATCTCCATTCCAGAGATCAGTTCCCTGGAGAAAATGGATGTTTTGGAGGGTAGGTTCTAGGGCCTCGTACCCCACTGAGGTCCCTTCCCTCCCCAGACTCCTCCCCCGGATCTCCAGGAGCGTCCCAACCTGGACCCCCCCCCCCCTCCCCCCCCCCCCCCTCCTGACACCATCTGCTTCAGCCTTCACGTTTCGTACTGTGAACAAAAAGGTCTTTGTAGGACCCTTAAAAACAATGCCAAGTACTTGCACACTGAGCTGTTCCCAGGATTTCACACACTTGGAGCTTGATAGGGGAGGGAAAGGAATAAGCAAGGGATGTTTTCTCTTTTTTTCCTGAGGTAAAAACAGAAATTCGGGGGGGGGGGGGGGCACCCTGGTTGAAGCCAGAGCCTGTGCTGTGCATTTTGACAGACTAACTCATAGACATGCAGCACATACACAGCTCTTCTGTTCCCACTGAGCCTCCTAACCCTCTCGTCCCCTCCCCCTCAGTGCCTCTGCAGGAAGAGTTCCAGGCCGGTTTTTCACACCACCCGCTGCACTGCTACATCATCAGTGCCACACACAAGGCCTATGCCATCCACGGGAGGCAGCACCAGCTCTTTCTGCTCCTGAAGCCAGACGTGCCCACCTTTGCCCTGCGCTCCCTGGCAACCAGCACGCTGCAGGCCCTCACCGCTGAGGATTCTGCCCTCTGAGCAGGGGAGTTCCCAACCGGATGCTGGGATGAGACATGCCTCCCCCAAAAACATTCCGCAAAGGTGTATTTCCTGTATACCGGAGCAGCCTGGATATGGAAGAAATTCCCAAATCAGGAAGAATTCTGAAGATGAGAGCAAATCTCTCTAACTCTCTGGTGGTTACACAGGAGGTAACTGAGACACTCTTGGCCTCTTCTCCTTCACCAGCCCCCATACAGAAAGGAATGCTTGCTTTTTAAAAGAAGTTGGCAAGAAGTGCGTCTCCCACTACCTGTCTGCAGGTATTTATGCATTGATATCACATACACCCAAACAGCAAGGAATGCAAGCGTACCCTCTACCGAAGACTAAGACGGATGGGTCAAAAGTGACAGACTTGGAGCCGAGGGACCAAGGTTTATAATGCAGTACAGCTCAGCACAGCAATTGGCTTACCTGGGTTGGAAGGTGCCTGCTGTGGCTCTGCAGGTACAGGAAGTCTGATGATAGAAATTGGCATCAGCCCATCTTCCCCCAGGAGCATTTGCTCCTACCTCATTCATCTCCTCTTCCAATTTCTGTGATAACTTGATTAGCTTCTCGACTTCACACGCTACACGTTCTGTGTTTCTACTTATGAGAGGCTCTTCTTTCGATGTTCCTACTGCTGACATTCAAATGTGGCCTCTGCCAGCTCACTGGAAAGCCATACTAATTTTGACCTAACCTTGCAAGACTGTTTGTAAGAGTTAATAAAATGTTTTGTGAACCACTTTTTATATAAAGTAGTTGAAGCTTTTGTATGAATTTGAATAGTTCTCAGAAGCTTGTTCACATTGCCCTTTCAGTTCTGAGTTCTCTAGAATTTTAGATTTAAGCTGTAAGCCTGCATCCACGTGTAAAAATGAGTCGCAGTGAAGTCAGTGTGACACAACTGAGCAAAACCTTAGAATCACTTTGTACACTGGAAAAGTGGGGTATTAAGAAGGAGCTGGTCTTGTTTTTCAAGTTGAGACACATCAGAGAACCCCTTGGGCATGACCCCAATCTTATCTGAAATTCTACATACAGCCAGGCTGGTCTAGCTGTTTTCTACACCTTTGCCACTGGTTTCATGCTGGATGCTTAAAGCAGAAAACTAGCATGGAGAGGGCATTCAACTTGCCTTGAAACAGAGCAGCTGTAGCTTGGAGTAACTTTTAGAAAGAACAGGAACAAGACAGAGAATGAATCATTTTTGCCAGTAATGCATCTGCAAAGTGTCCTTATGCCACATTGTTCCAGGGTTGAGCTGAACTGTATTCCAAATTTAGTTGATTTGTACCCATCTGAGGCAGATGAAGTGCGTGAGTTTCAGCTGTGACAGATTCTCTCCAATTCAGGTTGAATAAACAATAAATGGAAGCTGAAATTCAACTGCTCTATCATTACAAACATAAGTTATTAGCCATGCACGCAGGAAGGTTGTTGGGCCCATCCAAACAGCAGTAGCAGACACTCTCCCAAAAGGAGGCGAAAACACAACAACTCATGTGCCTGCACAAAGCCAACTGCATTTCTTCCACTGTCCCTTTAACTCAACACTATATCTAGGCCGTATCCCTTCCTTTCAGCAGCATCAAACACTTTAGCAGTGGTTACTGAAATGAGTGGCATGCAAAATCAGATATTTATGCAGATAATCTGCATAATCTATTCACACCATAGATGAAGAAGGGAGTTCTTCATTGCACAATTTAACCCCCTTGCTAGAAGCACTGTGCACCAAGGATACAAATGTGGTCTACCGTCTAATTCCCTTCCTGGTTCTCCATAGGATGGAGCTCCCAGAGGATGCTGGCAGTTCAACTGTGCTGGGCAGCAGTTACTTCCTCCTTTTAAGACTGGCCTCAAGTTGGCACAGCCAGGAGGCCCCATATCTCAGCAAAAAGCATGTCCTTACATAACTGCATTTTGTGTGCTGAGTTCTTTCCACTTCTTGGCAAATCCATGCTGCTTAACTGACACAATAAGACTCTGAACAACCTTCTAGGGCCAGGGAAAACCACTCCGCTGGAGGGAGGGATGTTAGTTCCAACTGTACAGAAAGCCATCAAGCTATAAGAGGGCTAGAAGCCCCTATGCCGAGAACAGCAAATTCAGCTTTATAAAATCACTAGAAGCAAAGCTCGTTGTATAAAAGCAATATAATGGGCTCTAGAAAGCGGGGGGCCCCCCACAGTAGGCGTGCGGAGCTGCGGCAAATAGGCAAGTGGTGTTACCTGGCACGTATTCTGGCGCCCCTCCTTTGTTCAGAGCGCCACCGCTGCCTCTCGCTTTCCGGCTGCCTGTCAGCTCTCCGGGCGTGCTCGGGCGAGGCCTGCTTGGGTTGGCCTGCGCGCTTGGAGCCTTTATCTCTCCGGGCTGAGCGGGGTCAGCTTCCGCCTGCCGCCCTGGAGAGACCTTGCACGACACTGAGGCCGAGATGCTGGCTGCCCCTTATGTGGGCGGGACTCCAGCAACGCAGCTACTGGATTGGCACACCGTTGGAGTGACAGGTCAGCAAGCAAAATGCTGTGGGAGTGTGTGGAACGTTCACCCCAAAACAGAATTATATGTAAGGAGAGATGGCTGCCCCTCGCGCTCAGAGGTGGACAAGTCTCTGCTCCAGGGGCAGTACCTCCGTCTCACATCTGGTTTATCAGCAGACAAAGATCAGCACAAGGCAACAGGTCAGTCAGCGGTGTGGGGGTGGCCCAGCCTGGCTTGATTCTGGCTCTCCCCCGCCCCCACGGCTTTATTAGAGTCACATGGAGATAAGATTACAGGCATTCAAAAACCCAGATTAAAACTAAGATGCGCTAGATAACACCTACACAGCAGAATAACATGGAGCCCGGGCCAGCATGGGAAGCTGGGACACCCCCAAACTAGCGTGAACTGAACCCTCCCCTCCCCCACTCCCTTTTGTCCAAAATGTGGGGGGGGGGGGACAGCACTCCAGAGCTCGTCTCCCCTCCTTCCAGCTTCTTAAGGAGTCCATTAAAACTCCTGGGACTGGGGGAGCAAATCTTCTCACCTCCCACCCCACCCCCACTGTGCAGCTTGCTTTCCTTTTGGGGTGGGGTGGGGTGGGGGTGAGGACATAAGAACAGGAAGGCAGGCCTGTTCTCCAAATCAGATTACTTCCCCACAAAAATACACACACTGTAACACTGGAATGGTCCATGACAAAGGGAAGGGGAGAATGCACCCCTACCGCCCGGGGTGGAAAGTACACAAGGCAAAGAAACACACACACAAAAATCCTACAAGCATTCTCTCCCCCCCCTTCCCCTCCCTCCCTCCTGCCAGCTCAGAAGGAATTGGAGGAGGTGACGCATTTCCACCACCACCACCTCCCAGAGGAAGGACGTGAAGGGAAAGAAGGGGTTTATATTGTAAACAAAAAAACCCAGATGCCAGCCTAACAACATACAGGAGTGTGTGTGTGTGTGTGTGTGTGGTTGTGTGTGTGCGGGCGGGCGAGGATTACGACCACAACTCTCCGCCTCAGCCTGAGTGAGAATGGACTAGGCCTATGGGGTGGGAAGGGTCCCGGCTTCATCCAAGGGCCACCCTCCTGGCGAGAGGAAGATTACTCCTGGAGAAATGACTGACACACGTCGTCTCACCCCCACCCCCAATTGTACTTCATCCAACCTGGGGACTGCTGCTGCTTCTTTTTTTGCTCCCTCCTTGCTTACCCCCCCCTTGGTGCTGGCCCGGGCTAGGCAACGAGAACACAGAGGTTATCACGACAACAGGCAGGGAGCAGTACAGTCTTTCCAGAGGCCCCTGGTTCGGAGGGAAACCAGAGGGGACAGACAAGAGGCAGCTGGTGTGCGGGAACAGCCTTCTCCCTTCCCTCCTCTGGTGCTGCCGAGGCCTCAGAACTGCTGAGAGAGCAGCTCGCAAAGGTGCTTCGAAACGGACTCCTTGCTGGTACGGAGGGTCAGCCGGTACATCTGTTGGGGGAAGGAGAGGTCACAAAAGCTGAAACCATCTTCTCCCCCCCCCCAGTTTCACTTTCACCAGACATTGTTGTAAAGCATTTCCAGTAACCGCAGAGCTTTCACATTCTCAGCCTTCCAGTCCCTGTCTATGACAGAAATCTCGGGAATCCCTGCGACCTCACCTGCGCCTCCCCTCTCCTTTGCTCACCAACACCCTCCCCTCTCCTTTGCTCAGCCTTCCAGTCCCTGTCTATGACAGAAGTCTCGGGAATCCCCGCGACCTCACCTGCACCTCCCCTCTCCTTTGCTCAGCCTTCCAGTCCCTGTCTATGACAGACGTCTCGGGAATCCCTGCAACCTCACCTGCGCCTGGGCGTTGGGCTCCAGACGCAGCAAGCATCCAACCTGCAGTGCCTTCGTCTGGATGATCCCAGCTCCTACATAGTTATCGGGGTTTGGATCCACCTTCTCCAAGAGGGCACTGCCAAAACCCAGCAGCTGTGGGAAGAAGAGAAAACCGGAAGTGAGCTGGAGAAGATGGGAAGTGAGTTGGGTAACAACAGAGAGGCTGGAGAGTTTCCCGCTGTCAACTGGCTCCCTTTGCTGAGGAAGTCAGTCAGCAAGAGGAAAGACACAACAAAGAAGAGAACTGGAACTGTGGCCGAGTCATATAGAAAGGACAGCATCGCAGTCAGTGGTCCTAGCTCTGAGACCTTTTCCCCACAGACTCAGGCCTGATCTATCCATGCGGCAGAATGAGGCAGTAAACTCCTAAAATGGACAGAATGGATTATACCACTACAGAGAGCAGAAGGCGGACGCTGTTTTTTTTAATGTGATGTCACAGGATTCCCCTTCGCAGGGGACCTCCATTTTGGATTCCTGTACACTTGCACATCTTAGTTTAGGCCTAGCAATGAAAACTGGAGTCTGGATCAAACTGATATCAAAATTACAGTGGGTCACACTGAGGGCATGAAAGAAATGCCAAAGCAAATCCTCCATTAATCATGTGAAAGCCATACCTGGTGAGAGTCAACCAACTGGCCTTTTCCCCAAGGACCTAAGGGGCTCTCTCCCTGATAATTTGGACCCAAATAATCAAGACAGTGAACAACAGGCTTAAGTGCTGGACAGGATTTCTTCCCCTACTCCATCATGTAAAATACTCAGCCATTGATACTTGCTCACTAAACTCTCAGTCTCCCTAAAGGAACACTTCTCTTTGATGCTTTTACCTGTAATGTAAAAAGAAAACATAACTCCCCTCCACAATGCACACACGAAAAAAACCCTTTTTCAAATTAGCTCATCCCCCGATCACTCCCACAGTCCAATGCTGACACCTTTTTCCCACCTCGGTTTTAGCAAAAATGTATAAAAAGTAGAGGTGGGCAAAAAAAAAAATTGTATTCTTCAGATTTGGGTATATTGAACCTGAAAAATATTAGTATTTCCCAATATTCCTGAATCCCAATACTGGTATAGTATTTGGATTCAGTAAATATTCGGGAAAGCCATTTTTTTTGGCTCCATTATACCCTGGGGACCATTATAGTCAATGTTTCCCACAGACTATAATGAAGAATCAATCTGGTGGTATCTGGGGCTTTGGGGGGGTGTTTTTTGAGGTACAGAACCAAATCTGCAGCATAGCTACCAGTACCTCTCCTAAAAAAACAACAACCCCAATTCTATGGGCCCCCAAAGAAGGTGTCCCCATCCTCCATTGCTTTCAATGAAGGGGGGGGAGGCATTTAAAGGGCTTCTGGCCCCTTAAATGCCTTCTCC